GGGTTAAACCACAAGCACCTCAAATCAGTCAATGGAGGGAAACAATCAGTGAAGTTTATTAAATATTAAATGAAATGGGTAACACTCTGAAGAAGGAATTAGAGAAAATGTTTTGAAGATAGATGGGAAAAAATTATAAGGATTGATATTAAATAATGTTTTGTGAAATAATTATTGATAATTAATGTTTGCTTAATTTAATTTGTAATAATTTACAAATATAAAATAAGTAACTCAAATATAAAGCATACTTCCACTAAGAAATATAAATATGAAGTAATATATGAACATATACTGTTTACTGTATATGCATATTTTTCAGATGTATTGGTTGTTATGTATTATATATACAGTATATACACCCTGCATTTTCTGGGGGGAGGGGTGGAATGGCAAAATGGGATCATTTTTGTGTATATCTGGTTTTATAACTGTAGATTATTGTTCACATGATAATTATGAAAAATATTTAATGGTAATAAAAAACAAATATAAACAATGAAACAATTAGCTATAATTTAAAATGGCACAGAACTTGTTTTGAGGGTAAAACAGTTGTACTTCAGACCTCATAAAATATGTGCATTGACAGGTTCTCTGTAGTTTGACAAACATTTCTTTCTACTTCTGTTCTGTTCAGTTTACCCTTATATTATCTGAGTCCTTCTATAAAATGAACGGAAACGTTCTTAATTTAGGGAAAGATAAAATATGGGTAAACTGCACTTTACATTTTGGTTTGAAACCTTTTCCCTTTTCAAAACTCGCTGCAAAATTGCATGAAAATTGTAAAAGGTGATGGGTGCGCCATCTTGTGGCAGCAAGAGGACCGTGTAGTCTAAAACTGATGTTCCTTCAGACAGATGTGCTGTAAAACCTTTTAGACACTCCAAGTACTGGAGAAAGAACTATCGTATCATCGTAATGGCAAACCTGTTACACAAGGAATTGACAGTTCAGTTTATTCAATAAAGCTTCATTTAAAAATAAGTAGTTTACCACAATGATAATTGTGGCTTTTTGTGTAAATTTAAGCATACAATGTGTCCTATGTGGAGATTATAATAATAGTAATAAAAAACTTATTTGATATAGTGCCTATAAAAGCAGTTTGTCAAACACACCTACAGTGAGAAAAACAGCACACATGGAAGAGACAGCAAAATTACACAATTTCAACAAAGGTTTGGAATTCAGTAGGAAAGCAAAGACAGAAACAATTGAATCAAAGCTGCCCCTCTGAAAGAGGGGTTTGAGTCTTAATTTGAAAACGCTCAGGGAAGGGACTCTCTGACACCTTTAGGTATAAAATTCCAGAGCTTTGGAGCATAGCAAGAGAAGGCCCTGCGAGGTGGTGTGTAGGACTAGAGCAAGCCAGACAGGTACTAGTGTCAAGCCATGTAGAGCCTCATACAGTAGGTGACCATGAGGATTTTGAAGTTGACTCGAAACCTGATAAGAAGCCAGTTCTAGGATGCCTCGTTAGGGGTAATGTGATCACTTCACTAGACCTGATCAGGATTCTGGCTGCACTGAATTATGGACATACTGAAGTTTGTAAAGTGTGGAGTTTAGATACCCCAGTGATCTGAGAGGAGACGAAAGTCCATGTTTGAACAGATGGGCTGAATGGTCTTCTCTCGTTATTAACCTTTCTTATGAAGAAAATAGACTGTAATGAGAAGACAAATTCATAACAAAACCCTGGAAGATTAAAAACTTTTATTTATTATGTAAAATACATTTTTTACATGAGACTCTTACTTAAATATTTCATTAAACTACAGAAATATTTAAGATAAAAAATAGATATTAACACCTACAGTTGTGAAAATTAATATGTAGAGTGTAAACCTGAAACATTTCTTGTGGTCAACTGCAGCCAACAAAATACAAAACCATGAAGGTCCTTCTTGAATACTCAGCTATTATACTACTGAGAATGACTGCAGGGTTTTAATCTTGTTACTGATAGAAAATGACAAGGTGATGTACAATCTAATCTTTCTTTGAGAATTTACTGTAGAGTATTATATGTTAGCTCCCATTTCCAGTAGAGAGGAAGTTTTTGACTGTCTCTTTTACAGATACGTCCTTGCTGAGGAAGATTATATAAGACTTTCATTGCTAGCAAAAATACTGCAGTAATTAAAATTTAAATTAATGTTCTTATTATACATGCCTTTCAAGCTTCTGAGAGCCAGTAAGGTGAATGTTTTTCAGGTGCTGCAGAGATTAAAGCTCCTTGAAGGTCAAGAATCACCTCTATTACTACATTTTGTTATAATGCAAATCAGTGGTTTTCAAATAACCTAATGTGAGAGCTCTTTGTTGTATATGAAAATCGTTTTCATTTTGTCACTCCTACATTTACTTCTCCAACACTGGAATGGTGACCTCCATTAAGGCTCTCTTTCTGTGCACCTCCTTGGCCATCTTCTCTCTGTATTACTAACTGATCTATCTGAGGCTCTGTCGATTACACCCTCTTTTCTTCTGTTACTTTAATTTGGGATGACTGAGTAGAGTTTCCTGTGATCTATCACTTGTGCCCTTTACCCTTTATATCTCCTCTCTTGCTCCTTACTCTTCATCTATGGATGCCCTTTAATCTAGTTAGCCTGGAGTGCATTCGTTCTGCTCAGAATTATTAAAAATGATAGAAATTCCTTACTGATCCCTTCTCTCCCTCCTCCCCGTATTACAGTATTGCTTCCTGTCTGTTATTTAGTCCTCTATTAAGAACCCACAAATTTCTTCTCTGTTACCAGATTATTTCCCCCATTTTCTGCTCCAAAGTGACCCATATCTACAGGCTCCTCAACATTGCATTCGACCCTTCAATCTTAACTATCCCTTTCTACAGTAAATCATCTTCAGCTCTCTGCCTTCTTTTCCCCCTGCCTTTTTTCTCACTCCTGATATAATCTCTTCTACATCCACTCACTCCTGATAAAAGCTCTTGTTCATCCTGTCACACCTGTTTTCATTCTCTACCTCATGATTTCATCTCCTATCCAACCCCTCACTCCTGATTTCATCCTCACACTCTTGATATAATCTCTTCTTCATCCTCTCAATCCTGATTTCATCCTCTGACTCCTGACAAAATCACTTGTTCATCCTGTCACACCTGTTTTCATTGTTTAACTCCTGATTTCATCTCTTGTTCATCCTCTCACACCTGATTTAATTTCTTGTTCATCCACCCATTCCTGGTTTAAGATCTTGTTCCTCCCACTCCTGATTTCATCCTGTAACCCATGATTTCATCATGAACATTTCATCTGTTCATCCTCTCACTCATGATTCATCCTCTTGTTCATCCTCTCACTGGTGACTTCATGTTATCCATCCTCTCACTCCTGATTTCATCTGTTGTTCGTCCTCTCACTCCTGACTTAAACTCTTGTCCCCCCACTCCTGATTTCATACACTTGTATTATACCTGCTATATATGATGCAATGGATAATGTATTACTTTCCTGAAGAGTCATTTGCTTCTCTGCTTACCTGTGTCTCCATTCACTCTGATTCTCTCCCTCAGCTCCTCTGAACTCCAAAGTGACTCTTGACACCACCCCCTTTTTTGGGGCTTGGGTTCCTTTGTGCAATCCTACTGAGCAACACCTACAGTATAGATTCAGCCCGTTCTCTCATACCTGCTAGACCAGCCCCTAGTGACTCACCACTCAACACTACTGCTCCCCTACTTGCTTGGACAACTTAAGGAATCTCAGCCCTGATGTAACACTTCACTTAATCACTCTGTTCCTACTTATCTCCATTTCTTTCACTATTTATTCTTGTCCTCTGCATTCCCCTTCTTCAGGCCAGCTAATCGTGTCTTCATCTCCAGTATACCTCATTGGCTCCTTCTCCTCCCCTGTCCCTTGTGGTGGAAGCAGTTGTCACAGGGCATTCATTTCAGAACCGAATTTTCTCCAAAGTAGTTACTGTAGCATTGCTGCCTCGCAGCACTGGGTCCTGGGTTCAACTCTTGGGGTACTATCTGCATGGAGTTTGTATATTCTCCCTGTGTTTAGTTGGGATTCCCCTGGGTGCTCCCATAGTCTAAAGACATATTGGTACTGTACATGTAGGTTAATTGACTGCACTCAATTGCTGGATTTGTATTTCTGATTTGTAATTCACTCTTTTGCCTCTCTGTGACAGAACAAACGCGCATCAGGTTACACCTATAGATTACGTGCCTGTACTATATGTACGATATGTACTGTGTTTGTTGTATCTTGCATTGTTCTTCTTATTGTGTAACTTATTGTATCGTGATCAATTCTACATTTTATGTTATAACACTTTACACCAGTAGTTGTACAAGTAATTGTTTTGAATTAAGGTCCTGGATTGCATTAATTATAGCGATAAATTAATTTACAGTATCTAATCTGTACATGTATATTCATAGTTAAATATTCATTTTCATTATCAGATAATAAAAAAGGAATCGAAGACCCTTTTCAGATTTAAAAAATGTGTATTTTGAAGTACTGTAGTTTTTGTTTCAAAGCGTGACGTGCTAATTGTGTTAAGTAATGTTAACGTTTTGCCGTATAAATGATTATCGAGTCGATATATGTTTTAGGTAATGCACATGATGAAATTTTCATGTAAGATTTAATAATAACATTTAAATCGTAACATTTCCTCGCAATGCAAATGTTTGTTTTTTATACTTTTGCTAAAAGAAAAGATGCATAATCTAGCAATACACTATTTGAATTTTAGAAAACAATATCAAAATGTAATTTTTATAATGCATTTTGCTCCACCATACAGTAGTTTAAAGTAATGCAATTTTCTTTAGTTTTCTTGATTATTGGTAGCATACTAAGATAGTATAGCTGCTCTGTCTGATTGCTCACGTTTTAAGCAAATAAGTAAAAAATCCTGTCCTAAATGTTTTGATAAAATGCAGTTACATAAGGGGATTGTCCACGGTCTACAAGGCTGGCTGCTTTAACTCGGGGCAAAGCACAGTGAGTTTGCGTCAGACACAGCGCAGGCTAGTATCAGGCAAGCACTGCGATCCACAGCGGTTTACGGAATTATCAATAATAACACAAACATCCCCGGAAAAGGAAAAGACGACACTACCTCAAGGCAAAGGTGAGAAATTGATTACTTCAACTCCTCAAAGCGAAATTGCATTTTTTTTTCAAGCGTTTAAATATGAAGCGTAAATTAACAATTGTGAATACTGTAGCATGGCCCACGGGTCTGGAAAACCATCAGTTGGGTAGGATTAGAGACTGCTGGTTAAATCCACCCTGCATCAGAGAATGCACGTACACGTCAAATACCACACTGCAACGATTGCAATTTTAAGTGTTATTTATTTATTTAGTTTTGATAGCGGGGTGTTTGTGGTAAGAGGAGCAAGCGTAGGAATTTCTAGGCATGGAAATCTATTAAGCCAGATAATGTCAGGTGAGCCAGTCGAAATGGAAAAACCGAAACCGACCGCTTTTCACTCGAGCAAATATATTTTGGTAAAAAGAAAATGTATCCATTTTGCTCAGGTGCAGCATGATACCTAAGGAACGGAAAATCAAAATCGAATTTGCATTTTGTTTTCAGTTTGTTGATTCTGTTCTGCAAAGTTTTACAGTAAGCGAGAATCAGTTGATGTGGAGAGTAATGTCTGTTGAGGTGTGTTATGTGTAAAACATCAGAGGCAATCAAAAATATACATAATGCATTAATATAAACTTTTTGTAATATTTAGCACAGTTTATACTGGTACCATTGGTTGTGGTATAAATGAAGATATTGGGGTGCAGTAAATTGCCCGTATTAAAATAAAGGCAACTTCCTCCACGTCTAGTGAATGGGTTCCTTTCACCTGGATGAGTCTTCACATTTCTTATAAGGCTTTTATACTGTAAAAAAAAAAGTACTGTTATAAAGTTTATTTACAAGTACTACTACTGCAATGCAGTATCTGAAAAGTAATCAGAAACTTTGAACATAAACCTTTTCAATGAATTAACTTTAATTTGCCGTTTTTGTTGATTGTGATATTAACAAAAACACTTTATGCAACTTCTTAAAACCTTTTTGATTAAAGAACTGTACTATCTAAACCTTACCCCAAAAGCTAATGACAGTCATTTTGTATTGTAGCCTTAAGAACTTAGAATAAATTTAGATTTCTAGTAGAAATCTTCCATCCTAGTTAACTTGTGCCTTCCTGATATACCATATAGCTGACTAGTATCTTTGGCAACTGTATTTTCAGAATACAATATTTACATGCTTTAATTAGGCCTATATATATATATTATTTTTACAGGCACATACACACATCTTGGTGTTCTCTGTTTACAGATATGTTAAATATATTGAAAGAATTAGGTATTTCAAGGCTGCTGAACACTTATTCATCTGAACAAGTGGTGAAGAATTTTGGTGAATTGATTAAAATGGGATGTAGGCAGCATATACTTAATTTCTTTGTTTAAAATCTGTGATGTAACAGAAAAGATTAATTAAAAACTCTCTTCACACAAGTGAATAATAGACTGAATCTGCAACCTGATAAGTTGCTTGATCACAAAATTTGCAGAGAGATGCTAGTCTCCTCTAAGGCACAAAATCTACAAAAACAACAGTGCTTTTTTAGAGACTTGTGATTTAATAAATGCTAAATAAATGCTTTTGCACTGGCAGTGTTTTCTTGGCAATCTTGAAGTTTGTACAAGAACTGTTTTGGAATGGCAGCAATCTAAAATGAGCCCATTAACTTGCATAGGAGTTTCAGTAAGAAATACGATTGTGCACATAAGACTAAATATATAAGAAAATTATATGATTGGTATGTTATGCTCTTACTTCTTTAGTTGAGTAGCAATATTATTATCCATAAAGATTTTTCAAATGTTTGGCTTGGTTCATTATAAACCTAATGGGAACTCTACATCATATGGTGCATACTGTAAGTCAGTGTTTCAGCTGGTTAGTTATGAAAAGATAACATTTTATATTTATTTTAACATAAATATCAAGCACAACAGATACTGTAGTATTACTACATTATTGTTTTTTCAAAGTTGCTTTCAGATTCTTCTATCTACTTTTTACAAAATGTAAGCAAAGTCAAAAGAGAGGAAAAAAACAGCAAATTGTGACAGATGCACTGTAATGCTGACTTTTAAAATGTTTATATTGATGCTGAAAGAAAGATCTTTAAGACTCCTAGCAATATATCAGCAGTCGTGGTTTGTCTAACAGACCTGGACAGTGAGTTCCATAGACCTAGTGATGCATTTAAAAAATGCTCAACTCTGAAAGGAATATAGACCTAATGGCACGTATCACTTGATAACATGACATGATTTCCTGCTCAGTTACTTTGTTAATTGAAAGAAACGTGTGTTTTGTAGTGACAACATTACATGCATGCAAGTATTACATATTTTATAAGCTACTCTCCTACTGTATTGCTTTGCTAATACTCAGTTTCTTTAGAAAAGAACATACTGTATTAAGAGTTACACATATATACTGTAAGTGTCCTCTTAAAGTAAAACTGCATTTACTGTTTCTGGGACTGAGAGCATGCTGAAAGAGTTATGTAGACATGTTATTTGGAAAACATAGACTTCTGGAAATATTGGCCCTTGTGTGAGTGTGTGCATATCTGTGTCTGTGTGTACCCTGAGATGGACTGGCATCCTATCCAGGGTGTACCCTGCCTTGTGGCCGTTGTTGGCCAGAAAAGGCTTCGACTCCCCCTTGACCCCAAAATGGATGAAGTGGTTAGAAGATGGAAGGATTGTTGTTTTGTACTGTTTTGTTTTTGCATTCAGACCACATTTCTGATCTTGCAGAGACATCCCTTCAATATTTAAAGCCCATTCCCCCTGAGGGAAGTAAGGTTCAGATGGATCTACTAATGCTCCATACGGGTTTCTGCATCATTTGTAATTGTTCCTGACAAGGGGGTGTGCTTCTGCTAGCTGTAGTGTTTAACCAGGCAGAGAACATGTAGACTGGAGCAGTTTGGAAGCTGTGCAAATTAAAATATACTTTCAGAGATACCATCGGATCTGCTTGCTGACATATCATCTTGATATTCCAGGCCATTAGCTATTCCACGTTTATGAAAAGCAAGAATGTCTGCATTCCTATTGCAAATACTCAAATGAAGGCATCTCCTGAAAAAAATATCTGTATGCTTGGGAGATCTTTCCATATCTTTACACCAGAATATGTCTCTAAACATCACAGCATTTTACATGACACCAGACCTATTGCACCCTGCAGCAGGATTTATGACTTCTCTTGATTACCAATGGTTTGCACTTACCAGCTTTGTTGAGGTACTGCACCTACAGTTAAAGCAATTCTGTGCTGACAGCATGTTCCCTTTCTGTATTTCCTCTCTATTGTGCTTTGTCCTCAGTATTCTGGCTCATTTTACACCAATACTTTTTCTACCTCTTCGTTGCTTTAGTGTCCCTTACAGTCTACTTTACAATTCTTTAAGACCTTTATTTTCACATTTATGATTCTTGTATTCCTCAAACTCAAGGCCCACTTGCCAAATATCACTGTGATCCAGCTCTCTCTTTAACTAAATCAGGATTGCAGAACTCTGTAGTAAACATATTTATTTCCATTACATTAGTGATTCACGTAAGATGTTTAGAACACATCTGCTGCTTATTGTTTAGTAACGGTTCACAAATTCAGTTATGATGCTTTCCTATCTGAATACAATACATACAATACAACGCCTGTGCTGTTAGAGAACAATTGTGTAAATTATTCAGATCTTCTGATTTCACTTTCTTTTCTGTCTTGGTTTTATGTTTCATTTTCCTGTGCCGTTTGCCGTCTCGCCAGCCTCCTCTCCTTGTAGGACAGGCCTTTCTTGATTGTGAATCTACCTTACGGTCGAGTCAGGCCCATTGGATGACCTGTTAATATCTTTTACCACAGGATGAAACGTATGGCTATTATTACACTGCTTTTCACTCAAGGTTGTGTTTGCACTGTTTAGCAAATCATTCCATAAAAACTGACTTTACCTTGATATTTGCATCTCATAGGATGCAAAAACAGAAGTCTTTCTACCTTCAGTTTAGAATTGAATCCCATACATGTTATTGAAGGATATTGTCCTCCATGCTGCAGATGCTGAAAAACCCTGTCATTATCACAAACCTTAAGCTTGAACTGGGGACATTGTCATAGGTTTTGTCCACATTTTGATGTATGTAATGTGTGTTTCAAGGGCAGCATGGTGGTAAGGCGGTTAGCATTGCTGCCCCACAGCACTAGGCCCTGTGTTCAGTTCCTGGGGTGCTGTCTGTGTGGAGCTTGTATGTTCTACTCATGTTTGCTTGGATTAGCTCCATGTGCTATTGTTTCTTTCCAGAGTCCAAAAACATACGGGTACATACTAGGCCTCAGGTTCAATTTTGGGGATTCGTATGTTTTCCCTGTGTTTGCTTGGGTTTCCTCTGGGTGCTCTGGTTTCCTCCCACAGTCTAAAAACATGCTCCTAGGTTAATTGGCTTCTGGGGAAATTGTCCCTGTTGTGAGTATGTGTGTCTGCCTTGCAATGGACTGGCATCCCATCCAGGGTGAATCCTGCCTTCTGCCTGTTGCCCCAGTTCCCCCATGACCCTGAATGTGAAGAAGGATTTAGAAAATGGATGGATGGGTAATATGTGTCACCCACCAACACAAGCACATCGAAGTTTAATCAAATCAATGCAGGACCAATGGCCTTTTTTGATTCTGTACCTACACCTTTATAGCTCAAACGCATATCTTTGATGTGGCTTCAGAATAACTGTGTAAATGGTCATAAAGCTGACTGGTGCCCATTGGAACGTTTTCCTGTGAGATTTCAACTGTATATTTGTTTACTTTTTCATAATCTGTAACTTCTTTGAGTCGCAGTGGGTTGTTTACAGATTTGAGCATGCCAGATGAGAATGTGTACTGTACGTGATCATGATGAGGCCTGTGTTTGTCTGCTTGAGTAAAAGAAAAAACTCTCTGATGCTTGTGTTCTGTTTTTCAAACAGCAAAGTGGATTCGGATGAGTGGTGTGAATGCTAAGTTGCAGTGAATAATAGGTTACCTCAAATTGA